GGAAGCGCCTGGCTGCCGGCACAGCCAGGCGATGGATGGATCCAGAGATCCCTGGTGACATGTGGTGTGGTACCTAGATGAGAACCGAGTGGCTCCTGGTTTGCTGGAGAGGCAGCAATGAGAGATGCTGGCTGCTGTACCTATGGAGGTGAATAGCACCCGCTGCTCCCACTGAGCTCCTGAACTGCAGGGAGGAGGTTTTGCAGTTACTTGTCCTCTGTGAGGATGGAAATAGCCACCGCATCCTCCTGCAGCCCTTGCTGCAAGGCGATGGGTTCTGTTTATCCCCAAGATGCTCACACAGGAGCTGGTGTGAGCCCAGGGATGCAGCATTACCTAGGGAGCAGCAGGATGATCCATTCCAAGCAGGGTCAAGGGGCTACAGGAGCCCCCCGCCAGCCTGGCATCAGGCAGAGAAATCATGTTCCTTATTTCCCCTGCAGGATCCATGGAAGGAGAACACACAGAGCATTTCCACCTGCCCTGGAGGGACCAGCCATTGAACCAGATCACAGGAGAGAAACAAGTTCAGGAGCACTGAGATGGATCAGACACAGGTGAACCAAACAGATTCAGACTCCTTTGTGGGGCTTTTAAACCAAAAAAAGATCCATTTCAGGTCCAGCCTCTCACATTGAAGCTTTTTGCTTTGTTAAACTCCAAAGTGAGGTGGGAACGGATGTACCAAAGTGTAAAGGACACTGCGTGCGCTCTCCCCTCAAAACACACCCTTCTGACAATGGAAAACACACAGTTTTAACCCTGTGCTGCAGTTAAACCCTTCCAACAGCAGCACATGCAGCACCCAGCTCTCCCCACAGCCTGGGAGGGGAATGGGGCTCCACTCACCCACTGCCCACACTCTGGGCATCCCCCATTAGGAAACATCTTCAGGCTTGGGAAGTCCAAACCACAGCACAGATCAGTGGGATCAGCCCTTGCCTCCACCATGCAGGCTCCTTGCTCGGGTACAGTGGGACACACGGACATCCTCATCCAGGGGAGCCGGACTGGGTTGAGCTCAGGGTCTTGGGCTGGCCAGCCCCCTCAGCACTGCCTTCCATGCTGCACTGGGCTCCAGCACAGCAGCTCCAGCATCCCATGAGCCAGCCTGGCACACACCTCAGCTATGCCTTGGCTTGAGGCCCTGAAGGAGCAGATTCATGACTTCCAGAGAGAGCTGAAGGCACTCACCAGCTCCTCATGATGGAGTCTTTGATCACCCACCACTTCCTAATGGGAAGCGACTGGAGTCATGCGAGGTGGCTGCTGGAAGAGCCCTCTGGGTTTTAATGCAGACCAAAGCAGGGCGGTTTGCTGTGACTGGTCAGAGACATGTTTCTCTCCCTTAAACCATCTCCAACACCCAAATCCTTGGGACCATGCAGCAGAGCAGCCAAGCAAGATGGGAGCTCTTCTCCCAGTGCTTCCCAAATCCCCCTTCCCAGCCAGGGCACTCACTGCCCTTCACCCTCTGAACCAGGAGGAAAACAAAAAGGGATTTCAACCAAATCTGGGGTGTCTTCCCCATCACAGCACCTTTCATCAGCGCTCTGCAGCCCCCCGTTGCTCCAGGCAGCAGCGCTCTGCAGGCAGACACAGCGCGGGGGAAGAGGCAGATTTCAGTACTACAATAGATATCACAAGCCGTTTCAGTTACACTGTTATTTTCCCGTTCAGAGCTCTTAACGCCAAGCAGTAGCATCCTCCCCACTTTCTCCATCCCCGCTCTTCAATCACTCCTCAGCTCTCAAGAAATAGCCTCGCTCCTTGTCTCTGATCAGAGCAGCAGCCTGGCACAGGCCCTGTTACAGCCTTTCATCCTCCCAGCCTTCACACTGCTTTTATTTCCTAAGTGAAAGTCAAGTAACTAGCTTGCCTCCTCATCTTCCCCCTGAGAGATGCCTGCTTCTCCTCGCAGTGCCAGCACGCACACCATGACACCCTGCCTGTCGCCGCAGCCCTTCCCAGCCCATGGGACCAGTGCTGTGACCATTAAGTACATCCCACCCATGTCCCTGCTCCTTCCCTTTGACCCAGGCTGTCCTTGCCCAGGGTAAAGCCTTTCATCCTGAAGCCACTAGGGAAATGGGGGTGGGAAACCAGGCTCATCCCTGCTGGGTCCTCGCAGAACCCAGAATGGTTTTCACTCAAAGACCTCAATCAGGATGAACTTTGTGACCTCTTTCCAGCCCTAAGGGAGGGAAGGATCAGGAGAGCAGTACAGGTCCCCCTATCTGTATCAGGCAGCAAGGGAGAAACCTCCCTGGCCCAAGCAGAGGATCCTCTGAATGGAAGCATGGAAGAAAAGCCCAACAAACCACCTTGGCAGCATCCTTACTGGACACGTGGCACATCAACCATCACCCTGTCCCTAACCCCGCATCATGGCTTAGGCTACCATGGTCACACAAGCTGCCTGGACATGGATGGAGATCGGTGTCCCAGGAGTACCAGCTGCAACCCAGGGGCATGAGCACCCCAGAGGCACCTCCAGCACCTCCCAACACCCCCTCAGCAGCAAAGTTTATCAACCACATTAGAGCACTGCAAACCTGCCTTGCCGAGCCAGCAACGCTGTGCATCTCCACAGCACAGCTCAAACAAGAGCCCTCCCATTCCATTTCCTCAGGGGCAGTCAGTCTCACTGGTGGAAAGGTGAAAACCACCTGGGAGAGAGCAGAAGCCAGCAAAAGTCCTGAATCCCCTGGGATTGGGGCAGGATTCACCATCCACGTGAGCCCAAGCGCTGTCAGTGCTTTCAGGGCAGCTGGTGGCAACAAAGACTGACCAGCAATGTGATTATGCTGTTTTAGCACCAGGGCATGATCCCTGGAAGATTACAGCCTGACAAAAGGCCACTTTATACAGTCCCACCACACTAAATAGAAGTAATAAATATGAACACGCAAAGGGCTCAGCTCTGGCACTTGAGCTGCAGAGCTCTGCTGAACATCCCAGCAAGTGATGGGATGCAATGTGGGTACCAAGCTGTCCGCTGCCTGCCTCTCATCTCTAGGCTGAACTGCCTTTTATTTGATGCTGGTTTTACATACACTTCCCCAGTTCTGGGTCAGTGACCCTGAAAACAAGCAACTGCCTGCAGACACACGACTGGGAGACCCACAGCATCATCCCTCATGGCTCACAGCAAGTGCCTTTCTTTATGGTAAGGAGTGGAAAATTAGCGCCAAGGAAAATCCCAGCTTGTGGGGCTGCACCTAACACTCATCCCCTTCTGCAGCGGTGCTTGCAGGTACCCACAATACCCTTTATTTTCCAAGAAGAAAAGTTAATCTTGCTTGTATTTGCAGCCCCGGAGGAGAAAACACATTTTAAACCATTACTGGGGTGGGGCATTTTGCTGAAAGCCATTAAAAACATGCAGGTGATAACACCTGCGTCAAAACAACATCATTAGGAATGGAGGGGGGAAGAGACTTGATAACATATTTAAACGAGCAATCATAAATATTATCATAGGAGGCAATAAGAACACACTGACTTGCAGCCTGTCATTAATATTTCTTCCCAAAACAGAAGGCTCCACAAAGTTGCAAGATTTCCTAAGATGCTTAAATAGACGCAGCTTTGAACGGGTGTGATAGAGATTTGGGGGGGAACATGGGAGCATTCATGGTGGGAAAGAGAAATCTTGGGTTTTCCCCTCCTGGGGGACATTTTAGGAAAGAAGGCAGCCTGTTCATCAGCCAGATTATTGCTGAAGCTCGAGTAAAACAACATTCACAACTCCGGCAGACCCTCACCGCTCTTGCCGGGCACACCAGCCTCAGCCAAGATGCGATTCCTAACAGTTCCCACACACCAGGAGCGGAGGAGGACTCGCACAGGATATTCTGGCCCTCTCTACCGTGTAACATGTCCTCCCCGCCACCGCACAGCCTCTCCCACTCCAGATGTGGTTTTGCTGCCCATCCGTACTCGCTTGCCTTCGCACAGGCAGAGCGGCACAGACCCGGGAACTTCCCGTTGGGCCAGGCAGCGGCTGCCTCTCCCGCACCAGCCCCTGCTGGAAGCCACATCGCTTTGCTTTGCTTTATTTCATTTCGGCTTTTTGTTCCTGCAAATAATAAATGGAACCAGAGTTTGGGGATGGTAAAACACTTGCGATGCTACAAACCGTGTGCTGGTTGCAACTCTAACGAAGCTTTAAGGGCACCGAGACCGTTGCAAGAAGCATTTTTTCTATTGTCTTTCCTATTCTTTTTTTTTTCTCTCTCTCTCTCTGCTTTTCAAAGCTTAAACTTGAATAATGCAGCTCGGACACGGTCTGTGCTGGAGCACAGGGAGTTTGGAAGCAGACCAGATGCCTTTGCAGGGTCACGGCTCACCCTAGGACCTGAGAGACCCTCGGTCAATGCATGCCCTGAGGACCATGCTCCCCATCCTGCCGGACCCCTCCAAGCATCTCCCAAGGGACTGCAGAGAGTGAACCCTTAGGCTGGCCTCGCACGCCGTGAATTATTTAGGGACCCTGTAGCCGGGCAGCAAACCAACCCCCCCAACACCACTGCCTCCCCCCCACACTGCACCCCCCTTAAAACCCTCGCGGAAAGGACCGGGGAGCCTAAACTGGGCGAGAAACAGGGTCAGGGAGGAAGAACGGTTCTGCAAGGCAGGGAGATGGGGTTGGGGTCCCTCGGTGTGCCTGGGGGGGAGCGGGGACACCGCAGGAGGAAGGGCCGCCCGGAGCTCCCCCTCCATTCCCCGTGGAGCGGCGCGGCTGAGCCCGCGGGAGCCGGGGGGCACCGCGGCAGGGGGGCCCCGCACCCTGCAACAGCGCGGGAAACTTCCCGGCCGAGCACTGCCCAACCCACCCCGGGGTCGGAGGGTGATGGTTCCCCCCCCCATACCCGGCTCCTTCCCCATCACCCGGCGGGCTCCAGCCGGAAGGTGCCCCCCTCTCTGCCCGCGGCTCCGGGGCTTGTGGGGGGAGGCCCGCGGGGCTTACCTCGGCGCCGAGCACCTGCAAAGGATACGGGTTACAGACCAGCCGGAGGCACCAGCTCCGCGGCCGGCTGTCCTGGCTCAGGTAGAAGAAGACGACGGGGGCCAGCGCCGGGTAAGGCAGCGCCTCCGCCTCCGAGTCGCCGCTGCCCGCTTCCCTGTCCCCCGGCCCCGGGCAGCCCCCGGCCCCGGACAGGTCATTAAGGCGGATGAAAGTCTTGGCTTTGCCCGGCTCCGGCTCCTCCTCGGCCGCTCGCGGTCCATCCTCGTCCATCCTCCGGCCGGCGGCCCCGGGGGGAGCCGGGACGACGCGGGGCGAGCCGGTGGGGCGCCTAGAGGGGTGCGGCCATGGCGGGGCCGGGGGGCTGGGGGCTGCGGCGGGGCGGCTTCAGCGCCGGGGTGGCATGGCCGGGCGAGCCGCTGCCTAGCCCCCCGCCGGGGCCGGGCCGCCCCCCTCGCCCTGCCCTGCCGTCTGCGGGCTCCGTAGCTCCTCCTCGCCGTGCCTCCGGGGGGCCCGAACCGGGCGAGCCGCGGGCAGGGAGGAGGCGGCTGCGGGGCGGCCCCCGCTGCCGGTTGCTGGCCCCCCACCCGCGGGGCCGGGCCGCCTTAGCGGCTGTGCCTGCCCCCTCCGCACCCCAACATCTGCCCGGGGCGGGGGGTGCTGCCCGGTGCCCCGGGGACGGGCGGCGGCGGAGGATGCTCCCGCGGGCGGCCGCGCCGAGCCGAGCGCTCGGCACAGCTGGATCCCTCACTCCAACTTCAAGTCCCGGCTCCTCCTCCCCAAGCGGCCAATGGGGGCTCGCCCCCGGCCCCTCCGCGCCTTCCCATTGGCTGCCGCGGGTGTCCGTCCGGGCAGCACAGCTGGACGGGCAGGCACGGTCTCACGGCGGGGCTGGACGGGGCGCACGGATCGGGCCCGGTTGCCCCCGGCCGTGGGGATGCTGGAGAGGGGACGGTCAAGGGGGAGCTGCAGCGCCGAGCACTGGAGGCGGGAGGGAGGGGGAAGCCCTGCGCTGCGTTAGACGGAGGCAGAGCCCGGTGGGACGCGCTGCAGCACTGGGAAGGAGGTCGGCGAGAGGCAAAGGGGGGAGACGGGGAGGGGGTGCCGCGCCAGTTCGGCCCTTCCTGCGAGAGGCCCGCCTGCCCCAAGGTGCCGAGGGCAGCAGTAACCGGTACCGGGAGCGCACGCCAGCTGCAGTGCCCGCAGCCCTGGTTTCAGAGCGCCGCGGCCCCGCTCCTCGCTGCTGCCCTGCCCGAGACCCTCGCCCTGCTGCAGGGCTCCGGGCAGCTTCTCCCCCTATCCCCCACCGCTGGCACCGGGCTCGGCGCATGTGGGTCACCGCCAGCTCCCCACCAGGGACCACCCCTTCCGGAGCAGGTCACCCCTGGGCTGGGCGGGGGCACGATCCCGAGCAGCAGCTCCCAGAGCAGGGCGGGGGGAGCCGCCACCAGCAGCCGCGGGAGCAGCGGGTACCCCCGGGCCCTGCTCGGAGGACGCGGCCGGAGCTCCCTCTGCCGGTGCGACTGCCGGCCGCGACGGGAACCGGCCTCGACGGCGGGCACCGCGCCGCGAGCACCCCCCGGGGTCAGGGGGACACGGCCCCAAGCGAGGGACTCACCACGCTGGGCGCTCCCGGTTACGACGCAAGCCACAGACCTTCCTTCAGCAGGGCCAGAGTAAAGGGTTTGCCGTTCGGAATGCAGCATCCCTGCAGGCGGAGCCAAGGCCCTGTCTCTAAAGGCTTAAGATTTCTTGCCACTTGAGAAACAGCTTTCTCGCCTCTCCCCGGTAGCCCCCACATCACATATCCTCTTGCTGAGAGCTCCAGCTTGCCCAACCCACCTGCAAGAGCAATAGGAAGATGCTTTCCTCTAAACCTAAAATGCCTTCTCTGGGCTGAATCCTGCTGGCCTGGGAGCACACTTGATCTTGGATTCACAGCCTGTGCTGTCCAACCCGAGACAAATCACACGGCTGTTGGCAAAACCTCAAGGCCAGCCAGGCTCTGCTGCAGAACTGCAAGAGATGGTGCCAGGCAGAGGCAGTGGGGAGGCAAAGCACAGCCCCCCCACACCTGCAAGCACAGGGGGACACAAGCGTGACAGCACACGGCATGTGTGACACCAGACGAGTGGATACACATATAAAGTGCTAAGCACAGGGACTCCCATTTCCTTACCAGGTTTCTAAGCTATTTCCCACTCTGGATGCAGTATGTGCACCCATGGAGAGGACAAGGCTCAGCTGGTCTTTGCCTCCCCTCACTCCTTGCCAAAGCAAGCAGACACACCAACACAGCAGGAGCTCCCTTGCCCCCCCCAGCAAAGCCTACTGCAGTGGAGGCAGCACCAGCCTTTGTCCCCCAGCAAAGCATACCCCAGCAGCTCAAATGTGATGCACAGGAAGGTCCACAAACACATTTGCATGTGCAAGGTGCAGTCTTAGATCAAGCAATTTCCTCGCTACATATGTACAGCCTGGCCACAGCTGCTTTTGATCCCATTCTCTTTGTATCCCCATAATGTACAGAGAAGCCTTTGTGTGTCGGTCTGTTTATTTAAATGGATTTGGAGCAAACATTTCTTTTTTGAAAGCTGAAGCTTTGAGCCTCTAAGTGGGTTACCAGATTATAGCTGTCTCCATTTTAATTACATTTGGCTCATTTTGTTTATTGCGTGCATTTTCAAGAGTGATGCTCGTCGTGAGAATTGGAATCGTTTTGCTTTACAAGATACCTGCCCTATAAAGGGATCCAACATCACACAGCAAAGACGATGCAAACCTTCTCGTCTCAAAGAGCACTCTCCCTCCAACTAGGACAGGAGGAGAAGAAAGGCTTGACAGAGCTATATAGCCTCTAAGTTTAAAATGAAGCATCCAAACCTCAGGAGGATCAAGCCAGCACCACCAGTCTAGCAGGCTTTTGGCATCAGCAAACACAAGACAAGAGGATGCTCTTGCTAAGGAAGAGTGATCTTGGTTGTGGATCTCAGAGGGATGAAAGCACAGAGCCTGTCACAACCCAGCCAAGGTGTTTGTCATTCCCTATCTCAGCCAGGAGCGGAGCATTGGGAACACCCAAAGCTTTGCTGTGGGTGGGCAGAGGAGTTAAACCAGGAGCCCCCAGCACCAGCCCAGGACATCTCCCCATGGAGCCTTCCCCATCCACCCAGGGCAAACACAGGCATTTGTCCTCCTCACACACATGATGGGGTTCAGCTTTGACACAGAAGTGTAGTGATAGGTGAGGAGATGGAACACAGCTCTGGACCAGAGCCTTGCTGAGAAGGATGGAAGGCAGCAGAAAGTGACCGTGGAGACCAGAGCTGCACATGTAGGGATCTGGGATGTAAATGAGAAGAGATCTCAATACAGCATAAGAAACTAATGAGGTCACATTCCCCTCACACACACAGTCCTGGCCTCCTAATTATACCAAAGATAGCACAGGAGAGAGCGATGGGGGGAGCCAGGGGCAGCTCGGGTGACAGCAGGAATCTTAGGGCTGTGGTAGGTTTGGAGGGGCAAAAGGAAGAGGGCTCATGCACTGCAACATCAGTTGTGTCCTCAACAGTGGATGCCATGCACCCCAAATGACTCAGCAGACCCCAGCAGGGAACTGCACCATTCAAGGAGGAGGAGGAAGAAGAGGAAGCAGCCCCAATCTCATCCAGCACAGCCCTCTTGTTCTCCTCTCCCCCTGCAGCAGAGCTGCCCCACACCATTCTGGGGCTATTTTGGGGGAGCCCAGCCCTGCACTCTCATTCTTAGCAGTACTTCTAGGAAAAGCATCATGAATGATGTTTCACATTGTTGGGGGAGCTTTAGCTGAGCTGATGCTCACCAAAGACGGCTCCAGCGTGGTAATGGGATCTGGAGCCGGCTGTACAGGAGCAGCACTGAGCTGTAATGGGAAAAGCCTACATCTGTAACCATTTTAGCGGGAGGTGGATTGAAGACAGCCTCAACAGAGAGGCTCCAATCCGATGGGAACTGGTCGCTATTTGTTTTGCTGTTGACATGCAGCTGCAGTAGCTGTGGGTGATTTTAATAAGACAGGATAACATTTCTATCAGTACTGGGAGCTATAGATTGAACCCATATAGGCATCTGGCTCAGGGCTCAGTGATAAATCACAACAAGATCCAAAGCTCTTCTCATGCCTTGGAACCAGAGAGAAAACACATTTCATCGCGGATGTCACAGGCTGGGGGCAGAGCAGGCCTCCCACCACCGCCTTACAGGCTCGAGTGCTGCTGAAGAGCATTTGACAGCAACAAACCCACTCTGTCCCCATTCTTCCACCCCACCAGTGACAGCTATGGGATGGGAGCCCTTGCTGTGCAGGGGGGTCCTGGCTGCCCCCATTCACATCCTAACACCATTCATTGTATTTCATCTGACAGAGCAACAGCAGAGACCCCTGCACCAAACCCCATCAGCCCCCACTTGCTCCCCAGTGTCCCTCTTTAGGGTGGCTGCTCCCACCCCTCAGTGCCCACAGCTGGAAGAGCACACGGTTTCCTAAGACAGCAGCTGAGGATCTAGGATACACAGGAGACCAGCCCCAGGTTCAACACAGCACAAGACAAGAGCTTAACCCTGCATAACCCCATCCAAACAGCTGCTTTTCCCACCAAGAGCTCATTTAGCCAATTCCCTTTTTCACCACCTGGATGGTTTCTTGCCCTTCTCAATTATTCCATCACCTTCAAGCATCCCAGAGCTTCCCAGTCTGGTGCTGCAGCCCCAAACCCCAGGGACCCCCAACCTACCAGCACTAGGAGCCACCATGGAGGGGGTCTGGGAGAAGCAGTTGCTTGATGAAACCAACTGCTGGAGGCTGCAAAAGCAAGGCTTCACCTTTTATTTTTCCCCTCTGTAATGAATGTTTTTATTGTCCCTCTCAATCTTTATTAAGTGAAGAGCCAGACGAGTAGTTGGAGGCAGCACGCACTACGGCATGGAGCACAACCACTGTGCAGCAGGGATGTACGTGACCAGCGCAATCCACTTGGTGTGCATAAGGGAATTAATAATTTAGGCTGGGGAGCGCTTGGTTTTGGCTATGAACAGCACTTCCATGCATGATCAATGTTTGCACCTTGACTTTTCGGTATGCAATCAATCCATGCCTGAATACGGCCTGAGTCTAGGGAACTGCTACATCTGCAAGGCTGGGTCACTTGGGGCTGTAGCATCAGCAGGGCTGATCCTCCCAACCTGAGCACAGACTCCAGCTCTGAGGCTCAGAATATAAATTATAGTAAAAATATAATTTATAATAAAAAACTGCCCAATAACTTTGAAAAAATTGCATTTTCCTTAAGAATTGTTCTTACCTCCAGAAAACAACGAGAGGGGAAGCATTGTCCTTTCAAGACTATCCTGGTTGGGTGTTTTAGTGGCCACATCCTGCCTCTGATTCCCAAAAGGTCCATAAGCCCCACAGAGACAGCTCCCCAGGACAGGATGCAAGGGCCCAGCACCACACTGGACATTGGCCCTACCCAGTATCCTCTGGCATTTACTGTGGCTCCCACCATAGCCCGTCCTTGTCCCCATGCCCAGCCAAGCAGACATGAGGCTTCACACCAATGGCTGCAGTGATTCAGTGGATGGCTCAGATGATAGCTACATCTCTCTGAAGCATTAGTAAGAAATGCACCACAGCTTTTGATGGAGAAGCAACCTTCAGAAGGGGGAAAAACAACTCCAACTGAAACCTAGCCTTTTGCCACTTGGTCAA